CCTCTGGTCAAGATAGGTTGTCCCAGGGAGTCTGGCCTAAATCTCAAAGGTCCTTGCAATGTTTGATTTATTGTCTTCTTCCTCCTTGTCTTATTAGCAGGGTAATGGAGGGTATGCCAGGGCAGAAGCTGGTGGAATCTTAGAGGCAAGGGATGGTTGGTTTGGAGCGCGTGCTCCTTCCACCAACTTGGCAATGAATTGGCTGAATTCCATTTATTTCCCAATTGATAGGCACCCAATTCTTCCTGAAGCTGTGAGATTAGGCTATCTTCCTTAATAGCTATCCTTTGTACACATACTCTTGAATAGCCTCATCATTGACAATACTTGCTGCAGTAGCAGGGTTTGCAGAACAACTGTGATGTTAAGGATTAGCCTTATAGTCCCATTTAGCTCTTCCAGACAACCTCCTGGTCACCTTTGGTTAGGACTGGTTCTTCCTTAAGGTCACCCATTAGGAAATCCAGGGTCACCCATTAGGAAACACTGATGCTGGACAAAACTGTACCAAAACAAAACGGCTTCTGCTCTAAACGGTCAACATATATCCTAGTACTGGCCTACTTAAGATTTACAAGCAACTCTGAAATTGTAAGATTTGTATGAGTAATTCTAAAAATGGTTTCCTTCCTATTTCTATTTATCAGTTGTGGCTGATATATTAGGTGTTGTCCAAATGGTATATTAGGTGCTGTCTAAAACTAGAACATGCGTTGTCTTGGTTCAAATGGATTAATAAACAGCTTTATTGGAGGTGGAAGGGATGGTAACAACATTGTAAACTGTTGTGTGTACTACAAGTCCCTTATATATACACTTTATATGACCTGTTTTTATATTATAACGCTTTTGATAGACATAACTTTTTCCAATGGGCTCTATTACCACTATTATTACTATTATTATTATAAATTTGTTTAGTTTTTTTCTACATTAACAGTGGGAACCCTCTTTTAACATTAATCTAGAACTTTCTAAAAGTATTCATACTTTCTGACAGTATTAGAATGTTTTCAACCTATCTAGCGTTTTCTCTAAGATTGATTCCAATATCCACCAAGGAACTCTCGCTCCTTTTCATGGCAAATAGTGAGATGGGTCGGGATGTGGAGTCTATGTTGCACTCTGGACATGACTGTGACTTTTGGCTGTAGGAATGACAGGATCAAAGGCACAATGTACCATAAAGCATGGTTCTCAACCCAGACAAACTTGTTCCCCACAAGGCATTTGGCAAAGCTTGGGGACATTTTTATGTGTCATGACTGGGGAGAGGAGACTTGCTACTGGCATGTAGGGTCTACACTCTAGATGGCCAGGGATACTGCTAAATATCTTATAATATGCAGGATAGACACCACCACAAAGAAATATCTGGTTCCAAGTATCAACAGTGTTGTGGTTGAGAAACCTTGCCATAAAGCATTCACTCATGCTGATGCTTTCAATTTACCTGCTCTAGTTCTCTATCTTTGTTTTTGAAATATCTTATATACAGGTAAGTTTTTAACCCTTTTGTGCATACTTACACATACCCACAAAGCTATATGTCTATGCCTATGAAATTTGACATTTTGTGTTATATATTACCACACTGAATCCTGTATTTGAATTACTGTGCTGCCCAGAAAAACAGATATTATCCCCACTCTTCATGTAAGAGCATGTATGGTGCTCTAGTGGCTGCATTTTAGGTTAACTAATGTGATTTACAAACAGAATATATAAGCAGAAACATTATGGGAAAGTGTAGTGTGCTGGCCATGCTTTTTTTACCCCTTCTTCTTTCTCCCTTTCTTCTCAACCCTTAGTTCAAAATTTGAGAACTGATTCCAAATAGGGCAGAATCTATGATCTGCTGGTTAGTACTATCAGAGAGCAGCACCAGCTGTCAGAAAACAAACGTAAGGGCAGCCCCGGTGGCGCAGCGGTTTAGCGCTGCCTGCAGCCCAGGGTGTGATCCTGGGGACCTGGGATCGAGTCCCACGTCAGGATTCCTACATGGAGCCTGCTTCTCCCTCTGCCTGTGTCTCTGCCTCTCTCTCGCTCTCTCTGAATGAGTAAATAAATAAATCTTTAAAAAAAAAAAAAGAAAAGAAAACAAACGTAAGACACGACCTCCCTCAAAAGGACCATTTCTCAAGGGAATCTTAAGGACATGCAGCCTCTAGCATGATTAGTAGCACCCCTGGGATAGAATCCATATTTATATTTTCCTGTTAATAGTGCCGTTTTCATTCCTTATTATTTATTTAAGGTTTTTTAATTTTTTAAATGAATTTCTACACCCAGTGTGGGGCTTGAACTCACAACCCTGAGATCAAGAGTTGCCCTCCCCACCCCTTGTCCCCATGGACTGAATCAGCCAGGAGCCTCTCATTCCCTCCTTATCTTTAAACATATTTGAAATATAGCAGATATACAGGAAAGTGCACATATCATAAGTGTGCTACTTGATGAATTTTAAAAACCTCATCACACCTGTAAAATGCACCTAGATTGAGATGCTAACCATGACAAGCAACCAGAAATCCCCTTGCATTCCCTGTCGGGTCCTATTCCCACCTCCCAACCAAGTCATTTTTTAAACTTCTGATAGCATAGACTGTTTTTACCAATTTTTATAATTTAAATAAATGAAACAATACAGTATGTACTCATTTGTGTCTGGCCTGTTCCACCCAACAGTGTGTGAGATCCATGCACACTGTCATGGGTTACTTAGTAGATTCATCATTCTTACTGTTCTATAGCATTACAGTGTGGAATATAACACACTTGATCCATCTGACCATTGATGAACAGTGCAGCTTTCACTTATGGGCTATTTGAAATAGTGCTGTTTTAAACATTCTTGTCAATGTCTTTTGGTGAACATACATAACATGCATATGTATTGCTGTTGGTTCCTAGGAGTGGAATTTTTGGGTCATAAATACGCACATTTAACTTTAGTATATAATGCCAAACAGGTTTCCAAAGTGGTTGTGCCAATTTACATACCCAGCATTAGTGTAAAAGGGTCCCATTTGCTCCACATTGTCACTAACACTTCATATTTTCCATCCTTTTCTTTTTAGCCATACTTGTGGGTTCACAGTGGTATTGTAATGTGGTTTTCAGTTTGCATTTTCCCTAAGATGAATGCAACCAAACACTTTTCATATACTAGTTGGCCATTTGGATATCTTTCGTGAGATGTCAGTTTTCTATTATTCATTTAAAAAAACTTATGGTATTTTCTTCCTTGTTTTATTTTATTTCCCTTGCTGTGTAAAGGCTTTCTTCCAACCCTTGCCCTGGGGAGTCATTATAACATTTGAATTTTTAAGGTAACATTCTTTCACTTTATTTTTGAACTGTGCTAATTCACTCTGTTCCTTTTTCTTAATAAGGAGCATTTTATTATACTTTAATGATCAGTTGTTAGTATACTAAAGACTAAAGATATAAAATAAAGGACTTCATTTCTTCAGAAACTTAAAATGTAGAAGTATAACCTACTAGGCAAAGTAAGTCCTGCTTACAAGGTTTGCTTTTTGGCAGGTATTTCAACTTTAGATCAAACCAGTGCCAAAGAAATCTGTAATATTGAGGGCTTTCTGAGAAATCTTTGATTTTATTAATTTAAAATGTGATTAAAATGCATATCAAGCTTTTTTTGGTGAAATACATATAAGATTACAAAATATAAGGTTAGGTTCTTACTCAGAAAGCTTAACATAGAAATTATTTCAAGAATAATTTCACAAGGTGGTCTGACTTCATAACTACTGATTATAAAAAATACATATGTAAGGGTGCCTGGGTGGCTCAGTCAGTTAAGTGTCTAACTCTTGATTTGGGCTCATGAAATCAAGCCCCACATTGGGCTCCATGCTTAGCTTGGAGTTTGCTTGCGATTCTCTCACTCTCTCTCCCTCTGCCTCTCTCCCTGCTCAGATGAATAAAAAAGTCTTTAAAAAATATTTACATAGGTAAATTAAAGCACATTTCAGTTAAAATTCCACCTTCATTAGTGTATTAGTTCAATTTTTAAAATATTTTTGCACACAATTTTCATCCATATTTTTTAATAGTTTCAGATATTATGAGGTTCAACAGAGAAAGGCTGTATTGTTTTGATGTTAAGTATCCACATTTTCTGCATCATGATAATATACTGTGCCTGGAACTCCCCCTGCCTTCTCCCAATTTTACATTCTGAGGGAACTGTATACCACCAATAAAATTTGCCAGTAGAAATTTATTCCCAATTTCACATGGACTTATCTTTTAAAATCCCTCATAGAGAACCCAGAAATAAACTCACACATATATGGTCAATTAATTTATAACAAAGAAGCCAATAATTTACAATGGGGAAAGGATGATCTTGTCAACAAATAGCGTTGGAAAATCTGGAGAGCTACGTGCAAAATAGAAAAACTGGACCACTATCTACACCACACACAAAAATCAACTCAAAATGGATTGAAGACTTGAACATAAGACCCAAAACCATAAAACTCCAAAAGAAAACATAGATGGGAAAGCCCCTTGGTCTCGGTCTTGGCAACAATTTCTTGGATTTGACGCTGAAAGCAAAATCAAACAAGTGGGATTATATCAATAAACAGCTTCTTTATAGCAATAGAAGTTATCAACAAAATGAAAAGGCAATCTATGGAATGGGAGAAAATATTTGCAAACTATATATCTGGTAAGGGGTTAATATCCAAAGTATATAAAGAGCTCATATAAGTCAAAAGAAAACAGACAAATTAATTTAAAAATAAGCAAAAGACATGAATAAACATTTCTCCAAAGAAGACATAAAGATTGGCAACAGATAAATGAAGAGATGCTCAACATCCCTAATCATCAGGGAAACGTAAATCAAAACCACAATGAGATATTGCCTCCTCACATCTGTTGGAATAGCAATTTTATATATATATATATATATATATATATATATATATATATATATATATATATATTTTTTTTTTTTTTTTTTAAAGACAAGACGTAACAAATGTTGGTGAAAATGTGGAAAAAAGGGAACCCTCTAGCTCTGTTGATGGGAATGCAATACAATACAGTGCAGCCACTGTAGAAAACAGTACGGAGGTTCCTCAAAAATGTTAAAAATAGAAGTAACATATGATTCACAAATGTTGGTAGAATAGAGTAACATATACATGGGGTATATATACAAAGGAAATGAAACCACTATCTTAAAGAGATTATCTGCACTCTCATGTTTATTGCAGCATTATCACAATAGCCCAGACATGGAAACAATCTAAGTGTCCACCAATGGATTAATGGATCAAGAAGATGTGGTATATATATATATATATATATATATATATATATATATATATATATATATAGAGAGAGAGAGAGAGAGAGAGAGACAATATAATATTATTCAGCCATAAAAAGAAGGAAATCCTGCCATTTGCAACAACATAGATGAACATAAATGAAATGCCAGAGAAAGACAAATGCTATATGATCTCACTGATAACATAGAATCAAAAAAATAAAAAAAGCCAAACTTATAGAACAGATGAGTTGTTGTCAGGCAAGGGGTGAGGGAAGAAATGGGTAAAGGAGGTCAAAAGTTTTAAACTTCCAATTATAAAACAAATAAGCTCTGGCGGTGTAATGTATAGCAGGTGACTATAGTTAACAATACTGTATCACATATTTGAAGGCTCCTAAGGGGGTAGATCTCAAAAGTTATAATCAAAAGAAAACAAATTTGCAACTATGTGTGGTGATGGATGTTAATTATACTCATTGTAGTGATCATCTCACTATATATACATACGTTGATCACTATGTTGTACACCTTAAACTAATATTGTATGTCACTTATATTGCAATTTAAAAAATTAAAAAAGAAAATCCCTCAACTGAGATATAACAGATTTTTTAAATTGTTATTTTTACCATCTTTTAATGTTTAATTTAATAAAAACTTCAAAATTACTCATCGGCACTTTCATTTTAAAAGAGGAAACAATGTTGTTACTCTCCCCTGCCCACATTATAGTTTAGCAGGGAAAGCATAGACCTCAGGCCAAAAACATCAAAACTTTCAATTAACTAGTAATTGCTGGCATGTTTCCATTTAAATATCTTTACCTCGTTATCTCTGGTTGCTTTTCAAATCATTAGGTCACTAAAGTCTGCTTTTGAGACAAAGATTATTCCTCCCCCAGAAGTCAGGGGAAATATAAAAAATGAAATTAGTGATTAAGGATATAAGTTAATTAATGCAACCATTTTGGCTTAGTTATTTAAAGTCCAGTACACTTGAAAATACACTATCCTCCAGCTATCAGAATTATACTGAGATCTGTAATTTTTCCATGATGAATTTATCTCACATTCACGAAGAAGAGAAAGAATCCTGAAGGTGAGCCACACAAAACTAATATGTTGACACACATATACCAAGTTTTACACGTATACACTCCCACATATTTTAAAAGATGGCTTCTTTAATACTAACAATGAGATTTTTGTTCCAACTAAGGAATTTCGATCATGCGTTTGAGACACATTTGCCTAATGAACCATCACCTTTTAACCTTATACTCTTGGAACACTTCACCTTTGTTTTTACCACTTTACCCATTGTTAAGCGTACAACTTGATGACATTAAGTATATTCACATCATCCACCTCCAAAACTTTTTCATCATCCTAACCTGAAACTCTGTTCCCCTTAAACAGTAACTTCCCATGACCTCCTTCCCCCTGCACCTGGCAGCCAGCTTCCTACTTTCTGTCTCTATGAACATGACAAGTCTGGGTACCTCATAGAAGTAGAAGCACACATTTGTCTTTTTGTGATTGGCTTAATTCACTTAGCATGTTGTCTTCAAGCTTCATCCCATGTTGTCTGATGTCAGAATTTCCTTCTTTTTTAGACTAATATTCCACTGTATGCAGTTACCATATTTTTTAATTCATTCCTCTGTTGACAGACATTTAGATTGCTTCAGCTTTTTGGCTATTTTGAATAACATTGCTAAGAACATGAGTGTATAAATATCTGTTTGAGTCCTTGTCTTCACTTTTTTGAAAGAAGAAAAGAATCCCAGGAGTGGAACTACTTGATCACGTGATAAGGCACTGCCATGTGTTTTCCACAGTGGCTGCATCATTTTATTCCCCCAGCAATGCACAAGTGAACACTACTTTTAAAATTCATACTTCTGAATACCTTTTCTAAAAATCTTATGATCTTAAGATCAGCACTTGGCTGTTTATTTATTTACGGAGATACCTAGAATAAAAATTTTACTTTGCAACTGGTGGAATCACCCTGAGTATGGGGGCAGCTCTGACTGGTATGTACCTACCTGGTTCCTCCTGCTGGGAGTCTCTTCTGACTCCCTGAGGGAGGTGGATCTGGGCAGGTATCTTTCCCTAGCTCTGTAGCCAGAGGGGCATATAAACACCACTCAGCAAGTCCTGTTGACCCAATTGTCCCAAGTGGCAGAGACCTGGCCTCTTCTAGAAGGCTTTTCTGCAGATTTGTAACTGTATTCTAGAGGTGGTCTCCAAACAGTACCACCCAGAATGACTGTTTACCGTTTACTCTATCTTTGATCATCTTTTCGGATCCTCCTCTTCTTTTCCTTTGTGTAGTCTTCTAATTAATTTAGTCTTTAGTCCTTTAATATTCTTTGCCAATACATGTCTGAGAATTCCTCTGGGGTTTCCTTGGAGCCAGATCTTTCATACCCTGGGCAGGAGTTATTTTCAGATGAACTTCTAGAAAGTGATTGCATTTTGATTAGGATTTGTGAGTTATACTTGTTGTGACCATTGGAAAGGCCAAGAGGCATTTCTGTACTTGAAATATGAGGAACTGACTTTTGTCACTTGAGGTTAGGAAAAGGTAGAGGTGGCACAGAGGATCATTCTCATGGACAGGAGGGAGTCTCTAGAGTTTTACCCTCATATTTATTTGAACTGATGATGTCTGAGGATTCTCCTGTGGATCCTTCTCTAGCTTCCCTTATGCCTTCTCAAAAGATGCCTCTTGCAAACAGGGATATGGCAAGGACTGGGCCTTAGAGTGACTGTGTGTATGCTTGTCCTCTATCCTCGCTGACAGCTGCTCCTAAGTCTCCTGTGCTGGATCTGCTTCCTCACAACCTCTAAGTGGTGAAGTGTCCTGGACCTCTGTTCTTAGACCTCTTCTCTGTTCTTTTTTTTTTTTTTTTAAGATTTTATTTGTTTATTCATGAGAGACACAGAGAGAGGCAGAGATATAGGCAGAGGGAGAAGCAGGCTCCCTGTGGGGAGGACCCAGGACGCAGGGATCCCAGGGATCATGGACTCAGGGATTATGACCTGAGCCAAAGGCAGATGCTCAACCACTGAACTGCCCAGGTGCCTCAGAGAACCTCGTCTCTGTTCTATCTACATTCATTCCCTTGATTTCTACCCACCCCTTGCATTAAATAAATCATTATGCTAATAACTCCCAAGTGTATATATCTTGTTTTGTCCTATTCTTAAAACACTAAATTTGTTTATCCAGCTTCCTACCCCGTTATCTCAAACTAGATAACTGAGAAGAACGTTAAATTGAATGTATTTAAAATCAAACTTTTTTTTTTCTACCCACATACATTTTTTACCTTCTCTCTTTCCTAGTTCAGTAAATGGTTCCATTTATCCAGTAGCTCAGGTCAAAATTCTTGTCATCTTCAATTTTTCATTCTCAACTGTTATATCTAATTCAACCTGCAAATTCTGCCACTTTTATATCCTAACGTCTATCCAGCCTCACCTCCTTCACTGCCTCCTCCCTGCTCCCTCACCCCGCTTCCATGCTTGCTCCTCCACAGAGTTCCTAAGGTTGATCTTTTATCACATCACCTCTGTTCTCAGATCTCTAAGGGCTTCTCATTTTATTCCCTGAACAAAACTCAGTCTTTGTCATGACCTGTGGGCTATATAAGGCCCTCCTATATGATCTGTCTCTGGCTGCCACTTTCACCTTCTCTCGTGCTGCTTCTGCCCTATTCCTCTAGTGTATCTACGCTGGACTTCCAGACATTCCTCACACACACCCAGCATTCCCACCTCAAAATATTGAACCTTGCTTTCCCCTAAGTCTGGAACACTCTTCTGTTTTGACATGGCTCATTCCTTCCCTGTATTCAGATCCCTGCTCCTATGCCACCTTCTCTGAGAGGCCTTTTCTCATGACCTTATGAAGAATGACACCCCCCTCAATACCGTAGTTCGTACCATATGAAATGACCATCTTTGTAGGTCAAAATGGTAGAATATTGTCAGTTTCAGTTGGTTCAGCACACACACGGACACATAACATTATTGTACTTACCTGTCATCCTTTATGGATTTATTATTGCTTATTATGAATTATGGATTGTTTTATTGCTTATTTATTGGCTTATTATTTTCTCCTCCCCGGATGTGTATCTTGAAGGCAATGATCTGGACAGCTCATTCTAGATGGTATCTGAAACAAAGAGGCATCTACAGATCACCATCTGCTGTACACTTCTCCCATCTTCTGCAGAGGCCTTTGATAAATTAAGCTCGTTAAACTGCTCTCTGTGCAGGCATACTGGCATTTTTGGAGGCCAATCCCCTTCACCCCTTATCAGGAGCCATGCTCTTCAACCCTCAGATTTTCTGTTTTGAGATCCTGTCATCCCTTTTATACTGTTTTCTCTTTCAGATTGTTTGGTTATGGGATCAGACTGCACTTTCCTCCAAACTTCTGAGAGTTGTGTGCTGACTTCAGGTTCCATGTCAGAGCCTCCTCCGAATGTTTTTTTTTTTTTGGGGGGGGGGCATTTTAACCCCCCCATGTGAAAGATTCCCAGTCCCCCAGCCCTAGCTTCCTATACTTCTGCTTCAATAATCAGTTTTTAGTTCTTCTTCCAAGGTCAGAATTAAATTTAGGAGGGAAGTTCCTTGTGTTTCTTTCTCTTCCTCTGCAAAATGAAATTAACAGCAGGACAAGGTCAAAAGTATACCATATGTTCTGCTTTTAGAGAAATGAGATTTCCAGTTGAAACTCAGAGGGCTGGTAAGTTCCCATTACCACTATGACTTGCAAATGTGTCAATTCTGTGATCTTTTAGGAATATATTAATCAGAGCTCCATCTTGTTTAGCTGAGGCTATTGTATTCACTCATGTTATGCCAGGTGCTTTCCAAACCATTTAACAGAGGGTGGAATCTTCAGTCATCAATATGACAAGGTTTAGGACTTTCCCCAGGGAATACACCCAAAGACTGTAACTTGAGGTCCTAACGATTTGATCCAAAGTATTTTCTGAATGCCACTGTTAATGAAAACAATTTTAATGATACTTGTTGAAGATGGTGAGACAGACCTTATTCAGGACTATCATGAACATATTGGGACCACTGCAATGAGATTTCACGGTGGGAGAGAGATATTGGGCTCAACTCTGAATACAGGATGAGCAAGTGGGAATTTAGAGCCAAGGAGCACAGATAGGGTCAGTAGATGGAAAATCACTGAGAGGAAACATCCAGGGTAAGGGGGATTTGTCTAGCTAAACTGACTGATTCTTGCTGCAGACAGGTCAGGGTGACCAGACATCACCTGGGGGAGTAGTGGAGCATGAGGAGCCTGATGAGATATCAAGGGTAGAAGGTTCTGGTTAAACTGACTTAGCTGGGCTCTTGCTAAAACTAGAGTTTTATAAGGTAGTGTACAAATGGGCTTCAGAGAAGGTTCAGGAGGTTAAGTAAAGGTTGATCAAAGCAAAGCATTTTTGCCACAGGTAGCAAGAGGAAGTGGATGGGAATAGCACAGAGTAGGGATCAAGGGCCTGGATCTGGAGTCAGACATACTTGGTTTTGAATCCTAGTGCTCTGTGTATTAGTTAAACCAGTAACTTTCACAGAAAAGAATTTAACAGAGGGAATTGGTTAAATGGGTATTGGAGATGCAAAAAGGTAAGAAGAAAGAAGAAAAGGAGGAGAGAAGGAGGAGAGAAGGAGGAGGAGGAGGAGAAGGAGGAGAAGGAGGAGGAGGAGAAGAAGAAGAAGAAGAAAAGAAGAAGAAAGAAGAAGAAGAAAGAAGAAGGAGGAGGAGGAGGAGAAGGAGAAGAAGAAGGAGAAGAAGAAGGAGAAGGAGGAGGAGGAGGAGGAGGAGAAGAAGAAGAAGAAGAAGAAGAAGAAGAAGCAGCCACTGAGGCACCAGAGGGATGGTGACTTTAGGAAGCAGCTATTACTCCTAGGACTAGCAGGACAAAGAGAAGAGGATGAAGGCATTAGAACCTCAAAACTTAGAGCAGAGCCCTTTATAACTGGGGCCCAGACCTCTGGGTTGACTGACGCTGGCATTTTTGAGGGCTGGTCTGGGGATGTGGGAAGTTACTGCCACTGAGATGAAAACCACCACAGGCATGATGCTGACTATACCAGGAAGCAAACAGGAAGCAGCAGTTCCTTCTCCCTTGCCCAGCCCTACAGTCTCCCGCTAGCATGCCAATGAAGAGCCAATGACAAAGCAGAAATGTGGTTTGCAGAGTCCCAGCCTCAGCATCACAGAGATTGGTTTTAAAACAGAGAGAAGTCACTTACTCACCAGTATAATGGCCTTACAGGAATGACAGAAGCCCTCTTGGTCTCCATTGCTGTACCTGGGTAACAGGGAGAAGCACCTCCTCTCTAGGTTTTTGTAAGGATTCAATGAGTGGTGAATACAGATTGCTCAGCAGGTGCATGGACAGCAGCTCCACATCTGACTGTGTCTGACACCCCATCTTCAGCCTCAATCCAGCAGCCAAAGGCTGACAAGGGAAGGAAGAAAGATTGAAAGAGGGAAGAGGAGAGAAAGGAGGAGGGGGAGGGTAGAAGAGAAATGAGAGGCATCCTGGGCTTGTGTAGCAATGTCTAGTGGGAAATTTTACACCACGGAGGGAAGGGATGAGGCTCTGTGGACCATCCCTGGTCCCCTTGGGAAGTCTTTTCCCATTTGGAACAGATTACATGCTCCAGGTGCTTTTAATGACTCCTGGGTGTTGTTATGATTTCTGCAAAATCAAGGGAACGAATAAGAGTAGCTGGAGGTATGTGATCATTTTCTAAGAAGTGAAGGCTCAGTGGCTTGGCAAAAGGTGACAGCAGGAGGTCTTAATAAGTTAGACCAGAAATTAATCCTGTCTTGTTTCTCCTTTAAGTATTTTTTTTTCCTTGTGTCTTTGGCGCTAGCAGCTATTCCAACTGTGTAATTAAGTCATTTCTAAAACAGCTGAGCAGCTGGGTCAGTACTATATGTTCCAGTGATCATTGGCTGTCAGGCTGAAGCTTAAATTAATATTCTGAACAGTTATTGAATTTATGCTGCCCCATCTTCATGGAAACCAGAAACTGGAATGATTCTGCTATTCAGGCTTCTACTTTCATCAACAAATTCAAGGAGGGATACAGTCCAGAGCCAGCCTGTTATCTCCAACAATATTTTTTAGACTGGCTGTTGATGTGAAAAGTAGATAAGACTAAATTTAGTCTGAGGAATTGGAAATGTAACTGTTCTCTGTGTGTGCCCAGGCTGGACAGGACAATCATCACCCCACCACGCGGAGGTGTCTCTTTGCCTTCTGGCCTCATTTCCTTCCTGGATAATAAACATAAATTCCCTATAATGCAAAAGGGTTACTTTCTGGAGGTGCAAATTGAAATTTGCTGGCTGTATAAACTTATGAAATTAGTTTTGCTGGTGGAAGAAATCTTAATTAAAGGGTTGTTTTGAAATAAGGGAGAGTAATAACGTATTTTTCATTATGTTCACCTTGGCACCAGCCACATTCATTTTAATGATCTAATTTTATCCTTCTTATTTAATGGATGACATTAGATCAGCTTTCCCAACAGTTTCATTTCCAAAAAGTTGATGATGTCAAAAGCTAAGTATATATGGTAGATCATTAGGGTTTCTGCTTAGAACCACCAATATCCCATAGTCCTGGATTCTGCTGTTTTGGGAGAAGATGAGATTTTAAAATAACAGTCCCTCTTTTCAAACGAAATGGCTATGTCCTGTATACTAGGAGGTCACTTAAATAGCAGAATTACAGAGGAAAAGGCATCTCCTCCAAATCAGTAAATTTGCTCCAATATTAGTTTTTTTTTTTTTTGGGTGACTTTTCATAATAAGAATTAAACAAAAATAATGGATTTAATGTGTGAGAATAAAAATTTGGGAATTTAAAAATTGGTGGGTAGTCATATCAGAAAGTGGGGGACAGGGTATTTATAAGTATTTATTGAAGGCAGTAATGGGAGTAAAATTTAACTTTTTAAAAAATATTTATTTATTCATGAGAGACAGAGAGAGAGAGAGAGAGAGAGAGGCAGAAACATAGGCAGGGGGAGAAGCAGGTTCCTTGCAGGGAATCTGATGTGGGACTTGATCCCGGATTCTGGGATCATGACCTGAGACAAAGGCAGGTGCTCAACTGCTGAGCCACCCAGGCGTCCCAAATTTAACTTTTTATTCCATCTTTGTTTGTTTGTTTTAAGGTGAGACTATATCCACCTTCTCTTCCAGCAGGCTTCTTAAGGAAAGAGCAAAGGATTTGGTGTCAAAGGCCTTGATGCTCCTCTCCCGTTTCCAGTCAAGATAGAATAACAGGAATCAGATTTACAATTCCTGCCTGAACCAACCAAACCAAACAACAACAACAACAACAAAACAAAACAACAACAAAAAAAAAAACAACCAAAACTGAAAACAAAAAACAAAACACCTAAAATAAAGAGAGAGAGAGAGAGAGAGAGAGAGAGAAACAATTGGCTTTTTAAAAGTATGAACATTAGAAAACAAGTGACTGTGACTCTTGAGGCATGATTTAAAAAAAAAATGATGAGTCTTACTATTTGTGTAAAATCAATGCAATCCTAAACAAAACCGCATTGTCCTCTTTGTAGAAATTAGAAAGCTGATTCTAAAATTTGTATGGAGGGATCCCTGGGTGGCGCAGCGGTTTGGCGCCTGCCTTTGGCCCAGGGCGCGATCCTGGAGTCCTGGGATCGAATCCCACGTCGGGCTCCCGGTGCATGGAGCCTGCTTGTCTCTCTCTCTCTCTCTCTCTCTCTCTCTCTCTCTCTCTCTGTGACTGTCATAAATAAATAAATTAATTAATTAAAAAAAATAAAATAAAATAAAATTTGTATGGAAATGCAAAACACACAAACAAACAAAAAATCCCAAACAAAAATAGTCAAAACAACTTTGAAAAAGAAGAGCAAATTTGAAGGGCTTATCCTACCTGATTTTAAGACTTATTATAAAGCTATAGTAATCACACTGTATGGTATTGGTATAAAGATAAGTAGATCAGTGGAACAGAATAGAGATTCTAGAAATAGGATTACATATATCTGGTCAAATGATATTCAAAAAAGATGCAAAGAAAATTCAATGGAGAAAGGACAGCCTTTTCAATAAATGGTGCTGGGACAACTGGATATCCATTTGCAAACAAACAAATAAGAAATTCAGTATGCTCTCACATCATGTAAAAACTAACCAAAATGGACCAGAGACTAAAAGTAAAACCCCAAATCACAGAATTTCTAGAACACATAGAAAAAAATCTTTGTCACCTGGGGTTATGCAAAGACTTCTCAGGTATGGCACCAAAACCATCATCTATAAAAGAAAAATTTTTATAAATTTGACCTCATCAAAATTTAAAACATCTGCTCTTTGAAAGACATTAATAAGAGAATTAAAAGACAATCTACAGAAAGAGAAAAGTATTTGAAAAATCACATATCTGATAGATACTCATATCCAAAATATATAAAGAACACACAAATCTCAATAAGCAAACAACCCACTTTTTAAAATGGGCAAAAGATTTGAACAGATACTTCACTAAAGAAGATATATGAATGGCTTATAAGCCCATGAAAGGATACTTAAAATCATTAGTCATCAAGGACATTCAGATTAAGACCACAACATAGGGGATGCCTGGGTGGCTCAGTAGTTGAGTGTCTGCCTTCAGCTCAGGGGGTGATCCTGGGATCTGGGATTGAGTCCCACATCAGGCTCCTTGCAGGAAGCCTGCTTATCCCTCTGCTTGTATCTCTGCCTCTCTCTCTCTCTCTCATGAATAAATAAATAAAATTTTTTTAAAAATATTTTTTAAAAAAGACCACAACACGGTATTATTACATACTTAACAGAATATATAAAATGGAAAAGACTGACCATAGCAAGTGTTGGCAAAGATGTGGAGAAACTGGAACTCTCATACACTACTGTTTTGTAAAATGTATAACCACTTTGGAAAACAATTTAGTTATTTCCTAAAGGTTAAACACGTACCTATCATATAACCCAGATATTCCATTTCTAGCTATTTATCTAAAGGAAATGAAAGCCTAGATCCATGGCCGGGATTTGTACATTAATGTTTATAATAGCTTTATTCATAGTAGCCCCCAAATAGAAATAGTCTAAATTTCCACCATCAGGGAATGGATAAATAAATTGTGGTTTATCCATATGGAAGAATATTCATCAACTATAAAAAAACAAACCACTGATGCATACAACATGAATGAATCTCAGAATAAGTATGATTAATGAATAGAGCCAGACAAAACAGGGTGCATGCTATATGTTTCCATTTATATAAAACTGTAATAAAATGAAAACCTAGTGACAGAAGGCAAATCAAAGTTTGCCTGGAGATGGTAGTGTGAGGGTGGAGAATGAGGGGGCGGGGACAGGGGGAGTCCAAAGGGGCTGGCGATAACAAATATGTTCATTATCCTGATTATGGTGATGGTCTCATCATTTCATACATGTCAAAATTTATCAAATTTTACTTTGAATATGGGCACTCTATTGTAGTTCAGTTATATTTCAATAGAGCTGTTTTTTAAAAGGCCCATGTTCAAATCATAGTTGTGTGATTTCAAAAAAGTTTCTCTTCTCTGTCCTTTTTTTAAATTTTAAGATCTTATTTATTTATTCATGAGAGACACAGCAAGAGAGGCAGAGACATAAGCAGAGGGAGAAGCAGCTTTCCTGCAGGAAGCCCAATGTGGGACTCAATCCCAGGATCTTGGGATCATGACCTGAGCCAAAGGCTCAACCACTGAGCCACCCAGATGCCCCTCAGTTTCTTAACCTCTGTGTCCCTGAGGTCCCCCAGAAGACAGTAATATTACAAGCGTCTCACAGGTGAGACCCTGTAGCGACAGCCCTTAGAAGAGTACTAAATCAATAGCAGGTACGGCATCTTGTCCTCCCTTTATAGAGACCTTGATTTTACTATTCATGCCTCAGACAGTGTTCTCTCTCTAGGTTCCATCTTTTACCTTCGGAAATCAAAGGACCTGAGTTTTGAAGCTGAGGTAGTTCAATCTCTTAAAATGCATTTATAAACAAAGTCAGATGGGGAGAAACGAGAACACACAGGAGATTAACAGAGCACTCAGGTAGAAATCACGCTTGCCCGATCAGCAGGGGACAGAATAAATTCAAACCATCTGCCAGTGTGTGACCCCGCTCCCCAAATTCCCCACATTCACACGACCAAAAATTATAACAATAAAATAAAAAAAAAAAAACAAAGATCATATGCTTTTTGCCTGACTCCAAAAGAATCTAGATCAGATCCTGAGACTCTGTGACTTGGGATACCTCACTCACTCTTACTGAATCTCAGTTTCCTGACTTCTAGACCCACTACCCATCTGACCATGAGGGAGAAACATGAAAAGTACCTTGGACAGCACTTGGTTCAGGTAAGGTGTTCAGTAAAAGTTGAACAGGCTAGGTTGTGGTAGCTCTTGAGTAGTGATCTCTGGTCCCAGTTCACTACTCTTTTCACTCTTCTCTGCTGCTAGTTCCCTTGGCTAGTCTGTGGCAGAGGGGCAATGAGATACCAGGTATCTTAGCTCTCGGTCTGGCATTCTTGCCATTGTGCAAGGTCATTTCTTTTTAAACCACCACGAATTGGAATTAATTTATTAATTATTATGCCTGGAGATAAAAATCATAATGATGGCAGGAAAAATCCCTTTGGTCCCCAATTAATGCCATTAATTACCAGTGCAGTCCAGTGTCTCTCTAGTGGTGCATTCTCTGATTGCTACTGCCCCTGAACCAGAACCCTTTCATGAGCTTTACACCAGGTAACCCTGATGCTGGACTGGAAATAAATGGTTCCGGTGCATAATTGCTGTCATGGCACTCCTCCACCACAAGATGGCACACAGCTCTCCTCTTTCAGAAGAGAAAGAAAGGCTAGTGCAGCAGTGGAAATCTCAAACCAGGCATGTTTCAAATCAGATGAAAATGCATTATTTTGAGTTGCCTCTTTCACTCTTAAAAATAGTCAGTACAAACCAAAGAGCATGGAAGGAGATTTCGCTAGCCTGAGAGGTGATGGGAGAAAGTAGCCCAGGCTGAGGAGACCCAGGAGCGTTGGTGAAGTGGTAAATCGTGCCGTCTTGAGGTTTGCACCTGGTCCTGTTGCCTCCCTCCTTGCTCCTAACTCCAAAACGGATTTCTGCCCCTGGCTGAGTGTCTACTTGAGCCTTGACGAGACTGTGATGTTCCTGATGATGTTCCTGTTCCTCTTCTACTCCCTTAAAGACATTAGTTCCCTATTGCTTTTCCTTCCCATAAAGGCAAGGACAGGTTTTTCACATTTCTCCCCGTGTTCTCTGCTGCAGAGCATCCACTTTAGACATGACTTATTGTTGTGGTCATACCAGTACAGGGAGATGGGAGCTGATTTTATTCTGTATCTCACCTGGAATACACCCAGGCCTGGGTGGGCTGCAGTGGTTCTGGCCTTCCTCCGAGCCACGTCTCCCTAACAGCCCTCTGCTGGCAGTGCCACCATCTTCCTTCCAGGTCCTTCCTCCTCACATAGAATCTGTCAGCTGGCAAAAGGTATATTATAGAGCCTAGAGCATTTGTAATACCCCCCGTCAGTAGCTCATACATCTCTTTTGCAAAGAAGAGAATATTCCCATTGCCCAAGGTAAAGAGAAGCCCTGCACTTAAAGCTGGTATCATCATCTTTCCTATGAAATCTTGAGGAAATGTGCTACAGACGCATAGACAAATAACTGCAACATAAACCTGACTGGGGGGGGGCGGGGAGAGGGCAGGTTATAGATGATCTCCAGAGACTTAGTGGGAGTTAGCTAGTCCTAGGTGGGCAGAGGAGTGAATAGAGTGAAGAGGAATAAAAGCAGTGAGTCAAGGAATGGGTCACTGCTCATTCCTTTAATGCTGACACAGAAGGGATAAGAAGCAGAAGAGAAGCTACTGGAGAGAGATATCCATAAAGGAGACAGACAAGAAATGCCAAGGAGGTGCACGTAGAAGCAGGAAAGTGCTTTGCCATAGACTCTGAATGATTAGAAGGAAGGAGTCAATGGTTTCGATGCAGCAAGATAAAGACCGTGGACTTTCCACACTGGTGACAGCGAGGTTGCAGAAGTCTGATGGCAGTGGACTGGAAAGCCAAGCGGAGTTGAGAAAGTGGGGACAGGGAGACCAGGTCACCTTTTGGGTGGCACTGGCTCAGAAGGGGAGGAGAGAGGTGGGCGATGGGGTGGTGACCATGGGGTGAGGACCCAGGAGGGCTGAACTGGATCAAGGTAAAAGAAGCTTCTATTATTTGTTTGATTTTAAAGTAGATGCATTTTTTAACTTTTTATTTTAAAATCATTATAGATTCACAAGAAGTTGCAAAAACAGAGAGATTCTACACATTCATAACCCAGCTTCACTCAAGAGTAACATCTTAATCTGTCGTATATATTAACAAAACCAGGAAGTTGACATTGCTACAACCTATAGACTTTATTCAAATTTCAACAGTTTTCATATGTACTTATGTGTGTATGAATAGTTCTGTGCAACTTTATTATTAGCATCAATTTGTGCCACTATCACAATAATCAAATACAGAGCTGTTCAATCACCATAAAGAACTCCCTTATATTGCCTTATCCCCTGATGACCATGAATCACTATAACTGTCATTTGAAAATATTATAGAAATGGCACCCTATAGTATGTAACATTAAGAGATTGGCTTTTGTTCACTCAGCCTAATGTCTTTGAGACCATCAATGTTGTTGCAGGTACAAAAAACTTGTTCTTTTTATTACTGGGTGGTACCCATTATATGGAAATATCACACTTGTTTCAGCCATTTACTTCTTTGAAAGACATTTGGGTTGTCTTCAATTTGGGGCTATTACAAATGAAGGTGCTATGGTCATTGTGTAGAAGTAGGGTAGAAGTTTTTGTGATGTTAGTTTACATTGCTCTGGCAGATTTGCCATATTTTTATCATATGGTAAGCGTTTATCCACTTTTCAAAGAAACAGCCATTTTTCAGAAGACTGTACCATTTTGCATTCCCAATAGCAATTTATGAGCGATCCAATTTTTCCACAGTCTCCCCAGCATTTGGTACTGTCGGTATTATTTATTTTAGCATTTCTCATCGGTGCATACTATGGGGAGCTTTTTACTGTGTTGTGTTTTATTTGCTTGTAGGCTAGCAAAGGTGAGCTTTTGACATGTTTATGGGCAGAGGGAAAGGAATGAGAGAACATAATGAGTTGAAGGTTTAGGAGAAAGGAGATGAGTGGACGGACGTGGTCTGGAGAAGGAAGGAAGACAGGATGGAATGAGCTCTGGCAGCAGGATGTGAGCCTTATTCTCTGACGCTGGAGGAAAGAATGTCAGGATGGCCAAGTGGGTAGAGATAAGCTGAAAGTGAGAGGTTCAGAAGTTGACTCTGAACAACACAGCAGCAGAAACAAGATTGGAAGTGGAAGGCCCTGGGGGACACTATCACCTGATGGGTGGCAGCATGTGCTTTGAAGTTAAGCTCCTCTGGATTCCGGTACCATTTCTACCACCACTCACCAGCTCTTTGACCTTGGGCACCTATTTGATCCCCCCAAGTACTTGGTGTCCTCATTTATACAATGAGGATAATAATAGGCCCTCCCTTATAGGGTCATTGTGAGAACTGAGTAAGGTTCTATGCACTCGATGAATAGAGAGTGGCAGGGAAGGTGGTCACACAGCCAATCAAAGAAATTAACCAGAGAAATGCATGGTCCGCGTAGCTGGAGAATTTTTGGTTTATATATCTTCCTACTGCCCTCCACAAGACTGAAAACAGCCTGAGGGTAGGAGCCATATGTCTTACTTTTCTTTGTCTTCTAGCAGCCAGTTCCATGTCTCCCTCCCTCCTCGAGGGCTCCCAGTAAAATCTGTTAAATGACTGAATAAATGAGTTGCGGTCAAGCCCACTAGAGCTGGGCCTGGGACTCGCGGGCCGCCTTCCCGCCCACCACTTCCCACCACAGCCTCGCTCCCCGCAGCGTGCACTCGGGTGCCTGCTGCCCGGTACACCCAGCTGCTCCGGGACCACCCCGCCGACGAGGGAGGATGCCTCGAGCCGGGCTGTGTAGTTCCGGTCTGAAAACGCGAAAGCACCTTACGATTCGCGATCAAAGTCAAGTGATCTGTTTCTGTCGGCTACGGATGAGGGCGAATTAAAAAGAAGAGGACGCTTGTGGGCGAGACTTCTTTGAATTACCTGTTCTCGGGATCCCTGGGTGGCGCAGCGGTTTGGCGCCTGCCTTTGGCCCAGGGCGCGATCCTGGAGACCCGGGATCGAATCCCACGTCGGGCTCCCGGTGCATGGAGCCTGCGTCTCTGCCTCTCTCTCTCTCTTTCTCTCTCTGTGACTATCATTAAAAAAAAAAAAAAAAGTTTGAATTACCTGTTCTCGGGACCACTTGCGTCCTGGGAGGGGCCAAACTCCAGCAAGTTCCACCGGCGCGAGGGAAGCGGCCCGACGCCCGGGAGCGGAGAGAGGGCGGAGCCGCGGGGCCCGCTCAGGTGCGCAGCCAGGTGAGGCGCCCGGCGGGTGTCCGCGAACCCGGGAACCGCCGCGCCGGACCAGCGGCCTCCGCAGCGCACCTGTGTCTGCTGGCGTGTCTTGAACTTTGGTCCCCACCCCCCCTTTTTTTAAAAAATAATTAATGCATCGGAAAAACACCCAACTTCGCGTCCATCTCTCTCCCTCTCCCTCCTCGCTCGGATAAGATATGCAGCGAAAAATGCCGCCGGCAGACGCCCAGGGGGAGGGGCTCCCCGCCGCGTCGTCTGTAAGCCACGGAGGCAAAGCAGGAGTTTGGAAAATCCACACAGCGCCCGTCACCCCCTCCTCACCTCGCATCCCTCCCGTGCCGGCCGCAGAGCCCCCGCAGGCGGCCGCGGAGGTTCCACCTCGCCCGGAGACTCGGCCAGACGAAGCCCTGAATCGCTCCTGCCGAACGGCCGGCTCCGACCGCCAGGGGTCAGGCTGCGGTCAGGATCAGGCAGGGACGCCCCGAGGCTGAGCTCCGCCCCCCGCCCGCGGGCCCCGCCCCCCGCCCGCGGGCCCCGCCCCCCGCGGACGGCCCCGCCCCCAACGCCTGCGGGATCCCTTCCCCGTGCGTCACACAAGCTGAGTTAGGCCAGCCAGGGAACGATTCCCTCATTTGCATTTGAGGACCACGAACCTAAAGGATCCCGTGGGGGGGGGGGATTGGGGGCAGGGGGAGGAGAGGAGGAGGCGCTTATTCTGGGTCCTGATTCTGGAGGCAGACTCTCTGGTGGAGGGTTTGGGACGACGAATCTGCATTTTATGCAAACTCCTTAAAGGTTCTATGGCAGGTGGTGCAGGAACACACTTAGACAAGACAACGCTTTAAGCAGTTCAAACCAGGGCCATCCCTAAGTGGCGGGATTTGGCTTTGTGCCTTGCCCAGGACTTAAGCATGCCAATGGGATGAGGCATCATATCTATGGCCTCTGGCCACTTGAATAAACATCTAAGATTGGGATGAAGGAAAATTCTTACTCCCTGGTCCCAGATGAAGACCGTTGCGGCTGGCCCTGCCTTCTCCTGATGTCCTTCATGCCTCTCTGTTCCTTCTAATCATTTCTGGGCACTGGTTTCCTTATTCCATCCCCTTTGATGGGCCTCCTTCCTTCTCATTGCTCAGCAAAAGCATCCTGGATTACAGGCAGCGAAGCTCTGCTCAGAATCATGTTTGTTGTCCCTCCTTGGTGCTAAGACACAATTTACTCCATGAGCACCCCAATGTACTAACGGCTTTTCAGGGAGAAGTGGGAGTGAAATACAGCACCAAATATGCTCATCCGTTGTAAGATGCAGCCCAGTTCGAATCAATAAAAATGTGTTTTAGAACTGAGAAAGGTTTCTTCTTCTCATAATCGAAGGTGACTTCATTCATTCAAGTCAAATTCATAGAGTACCTTCTGTGCCAAGAATCTGCTCTAAGTGCTGTGGGAGAAGTAAGCTGGATTCATAATGCTGTCACCCTCATAGTGCTGCTATTATGGTGTAGGAGGCAGGAAATGAGAGCATAATAAATGAATTAGTGAATCAGAGAGTTGGAGATTGTGACCAGTGCTATTAAAGAAATAAGTAGGATACTTACATGGCAGAGATGCTGGGTAAGAAGAAGAAACAGGTTCCTAAAGTAGAGCTCATAGCTCGCATAACTGAATCCAACCCATTCTGGCATTGCCATTTTGGGTGCCATCTATTGGTGCTGAACAAAAGCACAATGGCCTGGCCTGTCCACAGTTCTCAGACCTTGGAGGCTGTCCAAGGGGAAAGAACGGTTTGTCTTTGAACCCCATCAGTTGGCCTTTCTGAGTTTCTCACTGAAGATAAATGATGAGATAAAAGTGGCAACAATCTATAGGAGAACTTTGCTCTCACTCTTCGCAGGAAGCCCCTGCTTCTCCTATAGCATGAATTTGTAACTGACAGACGCTGTTGACTCCCTGCAGATTTTTCCCCCTGGATTTCAGAAAATTCCTACTGCATCTGAATTGCTAGTAAAGAAGGAAGAAGAGAAAGCTGAAGTAGGAAAGGATTGACTTATTTCACTCAGCATAAGGACAAACATTATATGGTCTCATTCATTTGGGGAATATAAAAAGTAGTGCAAGGGAATAAAGGGGAAAGGAGAAAAAATGAGAGGGAAATATCAGAAAGGGAGACAGAACATGAGAGACTCCTAACTCTGGGAAACTAGCAAGGGGTGGTGGAAAGGGAGATGGGCGGGGGGTGGGGGTGACTGGGTGATGGGCACTGAGGGGGGCACTTGATGGAATGAGCACTGGGTGTTATGCTATATGTTGGCAAATTGAACTCCAATAAAAAGAATAATAAAAATATTTTAAAAAATGAAGAAAGAGAGGACTGCCCTGGGGCCGTCGACAGGAGCGGTCTGGAGTGGTCTGGGCCTGGAGGAGCAGGGTTTCTGGGGTGCGGTAGAGGAATGAGTGGGCACAGCAGAATCCTGGGTGGTCCCCCTACAGTTTCTGATGGGCTGGTGTACTGCGAGGCCTGGAAATTAATCTTTTTTTTTTTTTTTTTTTTTTTTTTTACTTATTTGGGGATGCCTGGGTGGCTCAGCGGTGCCTTTGGCTCAGGGTGTGATCCCGAATTCCCAGGATTGAGTCCCACATCGGGCTCTTCATATAGAGTCTGCTTCTCCCTTTGTCTATGTCTCTGCCTCTTTCTGTGTGTCTCTCATGAATAAATAAATAAAATCTTTCTTAAAAATTAAAAAAAAAAAGCTTCTTTGGAGCTTCTGAGAATAATTAGGGTTTGTGAACACTTGATCTAGGGCATAGACTGGTCAACAGTCTCCCACCCTGACATCCTCTGTGTCTCCACCCACTCCCTCCGCATCTAAGGCCTCATGTTCCATCTTAAGCCCCACTTTTTGTCTTAGCCCCCCTGAGGCCAGGGGGCTGAAACCTGAGTCAGCCCCAAACCCACGCCAGGTGGAGCAATTGACTTGGGCCGGTTCAATAAAGGCTTTGAGTTACCAGGCACACATCTGCTGGCTGTTCTCACCAAGGAAACGGGAGCCAGATCACTTTCACTGGGCATCAACCCCACATGTCCCCAAGTGCAAGGAGAAAGGGAGATTCATCTCGCCTTCTGGTGCTTTCACTACAAACAACTCCCATGTGGCGGCCCAAAGTCTTTGGCATTTAATAGCCCAACACCTCCCAGAAAAGCCTGCAGGCATTGTCAGGAAGAGTCCAAGCCCAAAGGAAAGCAGCCTGCCTCTTCCTTTCTACCTCCTGGGCTTGTGCCCATATTCTGTTCATCCTTCACAGGAGACAAACTTAGGAGCCCACTCCTCAAAACGAAGACTGACTCCCTACGCCACTTGCTTCCCTGTGCTGATCCTTTTCTCTTTATGGTCTCTGGAACCCAGGGTTCTGTGCTAGGGACTGAGATTAGTTTACTTTTCTTAAAAAGAATTTTTAAATTTTTAAAGTAATATGTTTATAATGTCTCTAACAAAAATAGCAGCTTCCTCTTCCCTCCCCAGATGCTAACACTTCCAGTTCTTGAGGTGGTTCTAGAAGTATTAACCTCCATATTTTCAAGCAACATTCTCATAATATGTGTGTACTGCTTTTTCAATTTGGAATCTTATCCGTCAGTTTCCTATTATGGAAGATAAAATACCGCTTGGTACACACATTCACTCTCTCTTCTAGGACTAAAGGTTCTCTGGTCCCAATAGAGCTTAAAAAGCAAGTCTTTTAAATATTGGAAAGAAAAGTGCTGTTCAGTACTATACCCAACAAAGATCTCTTTCAAAAAACAAAAATGAAATAAAAACTTTTTTAGGCCTACAAAAACTGAAATAATTCAACACCAATAGATCTGTATAGGAAATGTCAATGGAAATCTTTCAGGCAAAAAGAAAACTGCAGACGAAAGACTTGATTTGCAAAAAGAACGAAGAGTCCCAGATATGGTAAATAAGTGGGTAAATATAAAACACATTTATCTCATATTTTAAATCTCTTTTTAAAAATAACTGACCACTTAAAAAGCAAAAATGAAAACAATGTGTTATGAAGTTTATAACGGGTTAAAAAGTCAAAGGTACCACAACCCCAAAAAGACCAGGAAAGGAAAATACAAGTTTCTTATACTATATTTGTAGTAAATTTATACTATACTTGAAGTGGTGTAATATGATTTGCAGGTGGATTCTGATAGCTTAAAGATGTGTACTATAAACTTTAAAACAACCACTATAAGTAAGCATAACTAAGAGGCAAAAGAGAGAAAGTGAAATAAAAATCATGAAGCCCAAAGAAGGCAAAGAGGAAAAAAGCAACAAAGAGGACTAGTAAAAACAAATGGAATGTTGGTACATTTAAACCCAATCATATCAATAATCAATTAAATGCAGAAATCATGGAAGACACTTGTTTACAAGGAAGAGCCTAGAATGTTTTAAAATACAGACCCAGTGAGAACATATTTTCCAGATGCAAACAACTCCAGAGAATTCCTGTCATTAGTGATAGTGATGAAGAATTGGCAATTTCTTCCTATAAAGGGCCAAGTAATGAATATGTTAGGCTCTGCAGGCCCTATGGCTCTCCACCCTTGTAGCTGGGAGGCGGCCCAGATGATAGTCAGGTAAACAAAGGAGCCATCTGTGTACTGAGTGCTCAGCCCTAGATGGGGACACTCAGGCCTCCAGAGCGTGCTCTCCAGTGCTCTCCCTCTCCTGCTTCTTCCATCCTGCTCTCCCCCTGCCTTCCCCAGGTAACCATCTGCTTTCTCAATTCTGGGAGCCCTCTGGCACCTGCTTGGGTCCCTCCTCCCTCAGTGGCCTGGAAACTCTCTCTAGGCAGTAAACTGAGACCTTGACAAGGCTCACCTTGTTTGGTTTTCTCCTCTCAGGGCTCACTCTACTGCACTATCTATTGCTGAAGGTTTTAAGAACATTTTTTAGACCTCTTTTTTCTTTAATTATTTTAAAAAGATTTTATTTATTCATGAGAGACACAGAGAGAGGCAGAGACATAGGCAGAGGGAGAAGCAGGCTCCCCATGGGGAGCCGGATGCGGGACTCCATCCCAGGACCCCAGGATCACGACCTGAGCCAAATGCAGATGCTCAACTACCGAGCCACCCAGATGTCCCTATTTTTTCTTCTTTAAAAGTTGTTGAAAGTGAGAGGGTAAAACTGGTTCTATCACTCCATCATGGTTGAAATGTTTCACTGTTGGGATTTTGATTGAAATTGATGGGGAAAATTGATCTTACATTATTGAGTCTTTCCTTTAAGGAATATGGGGTATTAATTTAGGCCTTCTTTTAATTTCTCCAGTGGTTTTTGTGGTCTTCTACATTCACTTTGCTGTTGCATTTAAGGCCTCTGTAGAGGCTCCTTCTCTTTTTTCTTAGCATCTTATTTATATCCTGT